ATTAGCATTTTGTAATTCCTAATTTAATTCCTAATTTAACATTCGTAGAATAAATAGGAACGTATCTGCTGCTTATTTTGTTGCAAATATTCTCCCAGTTCCATTGCAGATTTAATATATAATTATTCAAGCAAATGATTGGACTGCAAGTGCTGTCATAAATTGTTGAGATGAGTTTTATGAGATGACGCATTGAAACCCTTCAGATCGGTGGATACCAGCTAGTAAAGGCGGCTTGTGCGCAGTGTAGTGATACAACCAGATCGTTGGTGACGAGGGGTTTTACCTCCATGAATGGCTTGACCACAATGAGTCGCTTTTCTTATAAACTAGTCAATAGACCGCAATGGCTCAGGGGATAGAGCGTTCGCTTTCCTATGAGGCGAACCGGGTTCGAATCCCAGTCTCCCAGTCGATACGAGTTCCGCATCCAGCTTGCACCGACCACAGTGCTGACATGAAATATCCTCATTGGTAGACGGATCATGGGTTAGAATTCCATTGCCGTCAGGCTAACCGTGGGAATTTCTCGTGGTCTTCCTCTCCATGTAACGCAAATGCAGGTTAGCTCCATCAAAAAGTCCTCCACGAAGGCAAAATTTCTCCCAATACTCGATCCAAGAGTTCCCTTGTCTTCTGGATTGGGTTCAGAATTACAAGGGTCGGTTGTTCAATGATGGTTATAAAATAATTAACTGATTGTTTCTAAATCTTCCAAAAAATCGTTACATCTAAAAGTTATTTTTGCCGACTTTCTTACATTTTGCACTTAATTTAGGCTAACAACACCCTCAATAATTTATTTCCAACTCCTTAAGAGAACNAAAACCATGGATTTACGAAATATAGATTTTTTGTGTTCATACGATAGATTAATGAAGAAGGTAACATAAAAGTATGAAGCTGATCAACTTTTTTGAATAATTACATCTCAAGTTGCGGACCGGACTGTGCAGGCAGGGTTTCCTAAACTTATGAATTTTGTGTGTACCCTTTTTAACTTTTTCGTAACGCTGTGTACCACTAATAAAAAAATGAATNTTTTTTTTTTTTTTTTTTTTTTTTTTTTTTTTTTTTTTTTTTTTTTTTTTTGGTACCAAGTTTTGTTGATAAGTTTATTTGCATCAGTGAGAAGGATGATATTGTTCTTGCTGTGATAACAGCTGCTGCGGTAAAAAAATGGCACAAAAGTTAAAAATCACTGTTGACGCCACTCATTATTAACTGTTAACTCTGCAAAAAATAGCCAATAGAAAAATACGTAATAGTAGAATTTCCTGTTTGTAAATAAAATTTTCTGAAATTTTCGTTTGTTGCAAGATAATTCGCATAACAACGCGAACCCCCGCTAAACTGTTCCTGTACCCCTGGGGGTACGCGTACCACGCTTTGGGAAACACTGGTGTAAGGGAACTGGCCTTGCATCAGAAAAGTTCTGGGTTCGAATCCCGGGCAAGGCATGGATGTTCTTTCATTCTCTGTACTATCTGTCCATATGGTGGGAGCAACGTTGGCCCACCCAATAGGATGCCCCTGAAAGAGCAGCCAACACATCTGTCTTGCAAATGCTTGAAATGACGAAATGTTAACACGGGTGGGCAGGGCTGCCCATCAGGCTAGACTAGGCCATGGATTGGGGTACCTAATGATTAGGGCTGCCCTTAAAATGGATTTTTTGAAAATAAATTTCAAAAAATTAAGAAAAACAATGATTTTTCAAAATGTTATGATTATTTTTTAGTTCTAATTTTACAAAATAAAGTAAAATTTAATTTATTATTATTTATTTTAATTTTAAATATGCTTTCTTAAATGAAAAGATAGATAAATACTTTTATCTTTGAATAAATAAAAAATATACGAGAAAAAAATTTAATCTAAGGGCCCCCAAAATTTGAATGGCCTAGGGCAGTGTTTCCCAAACTTATGACTTTTGTGTACCCTTTCTAAATTTTTCGTAACGCTGTGTGCCACTAATACAAAATGAATGTATTTTTTACTGTAAAAAAATTGCCCTACAGTTAAAAATCACAACTGGCTGTTGATACCCCTAATTATTAACTGTTAACTCTGCAANGTAAAATTTAATTTATTATTATTTATTTTAATTTTAAATATGCTTTCTTAAATGAAAAGATAGATAAATACTTTTATATTTGAATAAATAAAAAATATACGAGAAAAAAATTTAATCTAAGGGCCCCAAAAATTTGAATGGCCTAAGGCCCCGCGTACGCTGGCACTGCGGGTGGGCATTGGAGAGAAAAAATATCACAAGTTTCGTCTATGGCGATTACACGCTCAGATAAATTTTCTTAGGATGAATGTCCGTTATTTTTCAGTTTGATAACGATAATGTTATCCAAAAGTTTTATTTTTAAAAAAACATTCCATGACTCAAAGTTTTTAACGAAAATACAAAATTACTTTCTTCGACTCACTATGTTAAAAAATTGTTTTTATAAAAACTCACCTTACAATGGAACTTTAACATGGTGCGTAGCGTTTTTAAAAAGTCCTTAAAGGTGCTTATTTTCGATTTTCGTACTTTAAAAGCCCTTAAAGGTGCTTTTTTCATGGGCTGTTTTTAAAAAGTGCTTGATTTTCCCTTTTCCCAAATGAGGTTTTAATTCTTAGCCATGTCACGTTTCGCCATGTATTATGCAAAAGCGTGCTTTTCATATTGTTCTATTCAACGTTTTTACAATTCATTCGACCACTATCCATTTCGACGTTACATCAGTCCATAGCGCATGAAAGCGCCAATAATTTTACATTATTTTATCATGATCATGTAAAGCAGGGGTGTCAAACTCGCGGCCCAGTCAATCTATCCAACGCGAAGTAAAAATAAAATAGAAACGTGAATTAGAAAGGAAACTAGCATATAAAATTATAATATACTTTATTTATAAACTATACGGATCATTTTAAATTGTACGCGCGAAAATGTAAAATTCTAATTGGCTTGCGGCACCTGCCATTCCAGGGATACTGCATCTTATCGCAGAAAAAATTTCAAATCTTAGAACAGAATTTGAAACAAGGCTTAAAGATTTTAATTCTTTGGAAGATAAATTTTGTTTGTTTTCTTCGATTTTCTCAATAAATATAGACTCAGTAGCCAGTAATATGCAAATGGAAGTCATTGAGATTCAGTGCGACTCAAATTTGTAGACAAAATTCATTGAAGTGGGTGTGCCTGAATTTTACAAATATTTACCGGCAAGGTTTGAAAATACTCGAAAATTCGCATATGAAATTATTTCCATGTTTGGAAGTACTTATCAGTGCGAGCAGTTTTTTTCTGTTATTAATGAAAATAAATCTCCTGTCCGAAACNCATATGAAATTATTTCCATGTTTGGAAGTACTTATCAGTGAGAGCAATTATTTTCTGTTATGAATGGAAATTAATCTCCTGTCCGAAACCGTATTAATGACGCTCACGTTGGGTCAATTTTGAGAGTAGTCTCGGCCAATTAAATTTCTCCCGAAATAGGAAAGATAGTAGCAGAGAAGAGATGTCAAATATCAAACAATAATTTTACTTTATATATGCTTATTACAATGTACTATTCAAAAAAAAATATTTGTTTCCGTAAACACTGATTTTTTTTTGAGGCCCACCTAAAGTTAAGCATTGTTTATTTGGCCCAAGTTTGCTTTTGAGTTTGACACCCCTAATGTAAAGTCATTGAAAATTATTTTGCGTTTTTTAATGTATATAGTGCTTAAAAATATTTTTTGAGTGCTTAAAAATTGCTTATTTTTTGTTAAATAATTTGGCTACGCACTCTGTTATACATATATAACAGGAAAATTGACTAGAACCTAAAATAGCTGTTTTAGTAATAGCTGTTCTAAAAAGCTAAAATAACCCTCCTCCAATGGTCAGACGAAATATCGTTCTGTCCATTTTATTGATTTTCTGACCATTCTATGTCCATAATGCCGAATGCAGGTTTCTGATTGTTAACTTTGTCATCTAGTTTCGAAAAATACATATCCTTGCTGGCATTAGAGCGGAATTCAGCTAAATTTTCGCAATGACGATGGCTCACTTAAGCCAATCAGAAGCCTGTATTTTTGTAAACATGTCGCATTTTGCTATATGTAAAAATGCAGGCGTTTAATGGGTCAAATGTGTCCATAGAAATTGCGAAAATTTAGCCCTAGAAATTTAGAATTAGAATTAGAAATTTCCGCCCTAGAAAGCCATGGATTTACGAAAAATAGTTTTTTTTGTGTTCATGTTCATACGATAGATTAATGAAGAAGGTAACATAAAATTGACGGATTTTACACTGTACTGATATTTTGTTTAAAAAAAAGTTCATGCATGAAGGAAACCTAAAATAAACTTTCAACTCGATTTGGGGGATCCCCATTCATGTGAGGCCCAGGGCAACTGCCTCTTATGTCCCTGCCTTTATCAGGCTCGGAACACAATTAGGTTTAAAACAATTCTTTTACTATCTTATATAAATAACTGTAAAAGTGCACTCGTAGTATATTAATTGAGAAAATTAGATTATTTTAAGCAATTTTGAATTTAACTGATACATAAAAAGATTTCATTAAAAAATAAAATACCCGGATCTTCATCATTCGATTTGTACTTCATTAAAAATGTAGAAAAAATGTTAAGTTGATAGAAATTGTTGATGTCATTGTGTCAGATGTCCATAAATCGTTTGTTTTCACTTATTCATCAAATATTTCACTTAATATTTTGACAATTACATTTAATGACTTGATATAAATCAACAATGTTCAAATCGTTTGTTTTCACTTAATATTTTGACAATTACATTTAATGTTTAGAATTAAATCAACAATGTTCAAATCGTTTGTTTTCACTTAATATTTTGACAATTACGTTTAATAACTTTAATTAAATCAATAATGTTCAAATAACCTAAACCAATTTATGAGATTTTTCAATGAGATTCAAATTTTTAAGGAAAGTCGGCCATTGAGAATTATTGTTGTTTCAGGAAATGGTTTTATCGAAGGAAGAGAGTTGGATAAATTTCTGAGAGAGTTCGTCTCCAGCGTTTCGGATACAGAACCGGAAGTAAGTAAAATTTATGAGAATGGCTTTCATTTTATAACTTTAGAGGTCAGACGATTTCTCAAAAAATATCAACGAAGCTTCAAGAGGGTCCGACAATAAATCACGAAAGTGTTTTGGAACAGAACAGAAAATTTAGTTTGGAACGTTTTAGTTAGTTGGTTGCAATTATAAGAATTCATACAGGTATATGGATATTTTTATTAAAAACTTTTTTTTTGCCATACATTTCCTTAAAGTCTGTAAAAATGTTCAATAGATTAAAACAAAATATTAACAATAAAAATTGAAAAAAGTTCATTTGAAAATTGCGCAGGATATGAGTATTTAAAGTAGTCATTTTACGCTGCGTGGAAAATATTAAAATTTTTTTTCTTCATTGTTTTGTTGTGAATCGTATTGGGTGACTCATGAAAAAAATTCGATTTGAATGTTTTGAAAGTTTTTTCTAGTAATTTCCAAAAGGACTATTTTAATGGCAATAAGATAGGACGACTCTAAATGCTTATATCTTGCGAAATGTTTAAGAATATATATATATATATATATTGTGGGGGGCGGAGTTATTCGGCCATGCCAACCGTCATCTATCAAAAGGTACCTCGTGATAGAATCAAGTTAGCATGCTTTATATACTAGTGAATGTTGTTCAACTTTTGTAGTGGTAGTTACGCCACAGTACTCCCCCACCAGAATTTTATCAGGGATATAATTCGATGAACAGATCTCACTAGTTGATGTACTTGTGAAAGACCGGGAGAGAGTCACCGGATTTTTTGAGTGCTGAATGTGAGAGGTGTATTAACATCACAGTCGAAGTCGCTCCTGTGTTGCCATTAGCAGTCGAGAGTATGCAGGCGTTGAGAGTGTAGGCGATGTGTGAATGTTCGAGACGAGACTGAGAAGCAACAGCGCAGGAGGTGAATGATGCATTCACAAATAGCAAGTCAACCGTACAATGTGGACTATCCATCGAAGTAGGCGTANTTTCTAAATATAAAATATAATGCAGATTAATGAAAAGAGAAGAAAAATTTATTAAAATAAAGTGTTTAACAAAAACTTTGTTTTTTCAACAAAAAGAAATATTAAAAATCTCGTTCAAAATTTAAAGAAAACATGGAAAAAATTATAGAAAAAGGGAAAAAGGCGAAGAAAACTATTGAATTATTTTGTTAAAATAAAAATCTGAAAATAAAATATCAATTGATGCAGATTGATGCATTAATATCAATTGATGTCAGGGGTCTGTTTAAAAGAAATTTGGGTCCGTTAACGGACCCTTTACAAAATATCTTTTCATAAAAACGGACCCTTCACAAAATATTTTAACTTAAAAACGGACCCTTCACGAAATGATTTTTCTTTTAATCGGACCTTTCACAAATTTTTTTATCTTCGTTATTATTTTGTTAATCGAATAAATCCTTCCCAGGGCAGAAAACGAGAAAGATGGATGTAAACGTTGTCTTCGGCAGACGATTCTTCCATTATTCGTCCGAAATGAATATTCTGCGTTCAGCAGTAAAGGCTAAATACCAAATATTTATATGTTGCAACTCTAATTTAGTAGCAGCAATTGCTGTTTATTTTTGAAAACTTAATTTTTTTTAATTTTAATTTTACAGTGTTGAGCATAATCTTGTATGTCTTAACAATTTAAAAACTCCTTGAACAAGTTTTTTGCTATAACCGGACCCTATTTGCACAAATTCATAAAAGCAGGACCCTGATTAAGAGAATGTGACTTAGCGTTTATTTTATATTCACACATTACGAGTCATTTTTTCACAATTTTACAAAAACCGGACCTTTTCACAAAATGTCTGGACTGACCCTGTAACCAGTCATAAATGCAGTATGAAAAAAAAAAAAAGAATTTGTTTGATCTGGTAATCCTAGGAAGAAAACTCTCTCTCTCTCAAAAAAAAGAAAAAGAAAGAATTGAAATTATTTTCAAGGCAAGTGCTCCAATAACCTTCTTATTTATTGATTTTTCGTATGAGCTTCTAGGAATAGACTCAGATCTAGTTTCTGAAACGAATGTAACAATTTTCTTTTGTACATTTAAATAAACTCTCATCAGTAAGTTAATTTAGTTTTAATGAATGTTAGATATAATCGATAGTTTCCAGGACGACGAAGAAAGAATCGTAAAAGTCAGATTATTTTTGCCGCATTCAGGGGTAAAAATAAAAAGACGTTTTGCGTACTCCGCGAAAGGGAAATTTACTTATAAAATATTAATCTATAGAGTCACAACAGGTAGAGCGTTACATAATAATTGCCATATGGCAAGAAAATTCTTCGTACGCCGTTAGGGGCACTCTTATGGATTGGCTGCGAGTTCAAACAGGTTTATAGTTTGTCTAAAGTAAGAACTCCCCTAACCATTCGTCTGGATCCGTGGCGGTGACTACGGTAACGAGGTATAACTATTTCAAGTAGGGGTGAAATCAATTCCTCTGGGGGTACTGGATTGGAGATCGATCGTTCTCTGATTCAGGTCAAAATTACGATCTGTGGATGTGTGAATGGGTTCGCCCTATAAAACGGGCTGTGACGTGTGTATGGCTGAAGTCGAATTCTTGGCTATAGAATGGCTCCACTGAAAAACAAAAAACGCGCACTCTACCTTAAATTTGCTCGATATCACCAAGCAGGCTTGCCGTGTGGCAAGTGGCATTAGAAACAACAACAACAAATAGGGGTCATTGTTTAGGCTCGGGTTGGCGAGTCTACTGTGTTAAAGTGAGAAGAAGCTACCCTCCCTCAAATGCAACATTCATTCTTGTTTCCATAGCAGCAGACAGATTCAAACTTTGTGGCGGTGGGAGTTCTTACCGTACACAAACTATCGGGTTGTTCGGAAAGTAATTTCGATTTTCTGACAGAGGATTTAATTGTATTTTTTCGAACCCAACTTCACAATTAAGCAGCATTATCATTATATGTTTTGAGAGATGATATAGCGAGGCTTGTGTGTGAAACAGTTCAATTAACTCTACGCAGTTGTTTTTGGTTGGCGCCCTTTTAAATATGGAGAGCAATAAGCAGCATTTTCGTCATATTTTACTTTTTTAGTATAGAAAAGGTAAAAATGCTGTTCATGCCAGAAAGAAATTAGCCGATGTGCATGGAGAAGATGTGTTGATAGTAGGCCAGGGCCAGAAATGGTTTGCAAAATTTCGATCCGGCAGTTGTGATGTCGAGGATGCACCATGTTCTGGAAGGCCGGTTGAAGCTGATAAAGACATTAGTTGATTCAAATTGGCGAATAACAACACGTGAGATCGGTGAGAGGTTAAATTTATCGAATTCAACTGTTTATGACCACTTGAAAGGTTTAAACTCGATATATGGGTTCCCCATGTTCTCACGGAGAGAAATTTGTGTCGTCGCGTCTGTGATTCGCTTCTCACGAAAATGATCCGTTTTTAAAGCGCATCATTACTGGGGACGAAAAATGGGTTGTCTATAACAATGTGAAACGCAAGAGAGCAAAAAAGATGACCCGGCTCAAAGCATTTTGAAAGCCAATATCCATCAAACAAAGGTGATGCTGTCTGTTTGGTGGGATTTTAAAGGAATAGTTTTTTTGGAGCTTTTACCGGATAACACAACAACTGGTTCGAAAGTCAACTGTCGTCAGCTGGACAAACTGAGTGATACACTTCAACAGAAAGGGCCAGAATTTATCAACAGAAAAGGTGTAGTGTTCCACTAAGGTAATGCGAGACCTCATACAAGTTTGGTCACTTGCCAAAAGCTTTTATAGCTTGAATGGGATACACTGCCACCCCCACCGTGTTCTCCAGATCTGTCGCCTTCGGATTATTATTTGTTCTGGTCACTGCAAAACTTTTTGGAACGTAAAACCTTTAATTCAAATGAAGAGGTCAAAAATCGCCTGGATTAGTTTTTTGCCAGCAAAGACCAAAAATTTTATGAGCGTGGAATCATGCTACCACCAGAAAGATGCAAAAGGTGTTGGACCAGAATGGCCAAAATATAATGTAATAAAATATCGATTCATTATGCGAAAATTGTCTTTCATTTAGTCTAAGGAAAATCAGTTGAGGCAAAATAATTGTACCCTCTTGCTTTAAAGAGTCATTAAATCTAGATAAATTGAAAAGTATCAAGATCAATGAATAATTCTCGTTATTTTATGAGCCCAAATAATGCACAGTCAGAGTAACTTTCTAAATATAAAAAAAAATAAGGTCATAAACTGTGTGACTCTTTTTCACATTTTTAATATTCGTTTAGAAATGCTCACAGCAGTTGTGAAAATGGTGTACTACTAGGGAGTGTTGTTTCAAGTAAGGACAGAAGCTTCGAAAAATAACCTTTAATGATTTGGCGAGAAAGTCAAATGGTTCCAAAAACTCTTGAATGGTTACGATTTCCCATTTCCCTAAACTCTGCCGCCATTATTATAATTTTTACTGGCTTTAAATCATTTGTAAACACACGCACTCACCCAAAAAAAGAAGAGGAAAAAAAGATTACGGAGTACGTATTTTCTGATACGAGGCGCATCCAGAAAGTAAGTTTCCCTATTATTTAAAAAAAAAAAGAACCCATATTTCAGGAACATATTTATTGGCAACAAGTACAGCAATATTTCAGCTATTTGTCAACATAGCCACCACCAGAATTGAGACATTTGTCGTATCGTGAGATCAACTTTTGTATCCCTCTGTCGTAGAACTCTGCCGCCTGTGAATGGAACCAGCGTGTGACAGACGTCTTCAGCTTGTCGTCGTTGCCAAAACGCTCAGCAGGAGGACAGGAATTTCTTGAGGTGCAAGAAAACGTGAAAATCGCTGGGAGCAAGATCAGGGCTGTAGGATGGATGATCAAACAACTCCGAGCCAAATTACGTCAAAACAGCTGCTGTGCGTCGAGCCGTATGTGGACGAGCATTGTCATGGAGGAGCACAACTCCTGCACTAAGCATTGCACGCCTCTTGTTTTGAATGGCACGTTGCAATTTCCGCAGTGTTTCACAGTAACAGTCAGCGTTTACTGTTTCACCGCGTGGTTCCATTCACAGGCGGCAAAGTTCTACGACAGATGGATACAAAACTTGATCCCACGATACGACAAGTATCTCAATTCTGGTGGCGGCTATGTTAAAAAATAGCTGAAACATTGCTGTACTTGTTGCCAATATGTTCCTGAAAGTATGAGTTCTTTTTTTTTTAGATAATATGGAAACTTACTTTCTGGATGTGCCTCGTAGGTAAGTGTTTTCTCGGTGGCTTCCTTCCCTCGATGGCTTGTTTTTAACTTTTAATGATCTTTCGAGAAAAAAAAACGTGGGAAGTAAAAAAAAAGGTGGAAATTAGCGATTAATAACTTCTTGAATTGATTTGTCAAACAACTAAAAAACAATACTATTCAACTTATCGTGAATGGTTAAAAAAATTAGGGTAATTTCAACTTTTTAAAATGGTGTTCAATGAAGAAAATTCACAGTTTTAGCCATCTTGAACAAAAAAACATTTTGATTTTTGTTCTTTCCAAATACAGTCGAATCCCGCTTTAGCGAATTCTTAGGAAACGAAGCAATCACAACGCAATAACGAAAATTCGTTCTACCGATATTACGAATTTCAACATGAACCCAAATTATTTTGTTACATTGGAATTATCCGCATAAAAAAAAATAGTAAATATTGCATTTAATTACAATTTTGATGTATTTGTACTCCACCAGTAGAAAATATCAAATCAGTATTTTTAAAATTTCACAGAAACAATTCAATTTAAAAGGAACAGCGTATATATGGAGTGTGGTCTGAAAAAAAATAAACTCTTTTTATATTTTGAGAAAAATGTTTTTTTTTTTGCAGCAAGTAGTCTCTGACTCGATGATGATTGAATTGAAGGAATGTTTTATGGAAGCTTATGATGATAACAAAGATGGAAAAATAGAAATTAGAGAAGTAGGTAGAAAACTTTCTTTTTTTGCAAACAATTAGATTCGCCCGTCGAACCTAATATTTATCCAATTGAGAACTGCTTCAATTCATAAATACGTAAAATTTTTGTGGCAATTGAACTAAAGGAGTCATCATTTTATGACCACCAGTCGTGTTAGTTCTCGAACTAGTAATCGAATCTTCTTATATATATATATATA